ATCCGTGGACCTCGGCTTCCTAGAGTGCTAGGATTACAGGTGTGAGCCACCACCCCCAGCCAAGAAGACCTGTTCTATATCAAAAAATAAATAATATAAAATATCTCCAATGAATGTTTATTCTTTAAGGTAAAATAATTTTTTCTTTTTGCATTTTATTAATAATTATATTTGTTCATTGTCAGTCACTGTGCTAAGGACTTTATAAGTTGCTTTAGTAATATTTTATTACTATAAAAAGAAACATTTAGAGTAAAATTTGTCAGCAGTACAGAAAGTAAAATGTGAAAGTCTTATCTACTCTTCCAAGTGGACCAGTCGAACTTTCCAGGAGAAAACTGTTAGCATTTTCTTCTGTCCTTCTAGAAATTATCTATGTGTCTCTAACTATAACTACATGTGTGCACATACCTTTTTTTTTTTTTTTTTGAGACAGAGTCTCACTGTGTTGCCCGGGTTAGAGTGCTGTGGCATCAGCCTAGCTCACAACAACCTCAAATTCCTGGGCTCAAGTGATCCTCCTGCCTCAGCCTCCCGAGTAGCTGGGACTACAGGCATGCGCCACCATGCCTGGCTAATTTTTTCCATATATTTTTAGTTGGCCAATTAATTTCTTTCTATTTTTAGTAGAGATGAGGTCTCGTTCTTGCTCAGGCTGATTTTGAACTCCTGACCTTGAGCGATCCTCCCTCCTTGGCCTCCCAGAGTGCTAGGATTAGACGTGAGCCACCGCTCCTGGTCCATACCCTTTTATTTTTAACCAAATGGTTCATACAATATAGGTTATTCTACAGTTAAGTTTTATTTGCACATAATGATGTTCCTTGGACTTCTGTCCATAGCAATATATCCAGATATAGCTTATTCTTTTTTATTGTGCAGAATACTCAAGTATGAGTATAACAGAATATAAATTCCCTGTTGATAATAATTTAAATTGTTTTCAGTTTTCACTGTTACAAACAGTGCAGGAGTCAACATCTTAACTAATACATATATCTTTATACATTGTTCAAGTATATCCAAAAGATACATTATGCATCGAGATAGTTTTTTGTGTCAATATCTGTGTGATTTCAATGTAGCTGTCTTTTAAGGTTACTCATTATATAATATTTGACCCAAAACTTATTTTAATTTTCTACAATGAATATTACCATCACTGCATTTATAATCACATACCATTGCATTTATCACAGTAGTTTGGCACAAGTAAAGGGTATTAATTCTTTTTCAGGAACTCCATATTTCATTTCTTTTGTTATCTTTATACTTTCTCTATCTTGTCTTCTTTCCTGTTAGTTCCCTTCATCCTAAGATCAGACTGAATTTTTTAACCTCACTTGTCTCAGTTCTGAAGAAAAGTGATCTTTCTTTGTATGGTTCTTCTGGTCAACTTTTGACTTCAGGTTGAAACTCCACTATTCTCCTACATACTGAACCCCTACACAAATATATTCACTGAACTTAGAATAATCCATAGACATTTCTTAATGTTTTTTGTTTTTGCTTTTTATTAGTTTTTACTTGTATTTTTTGCTTATTTATAGAGTCAAATTGATTGTTCCCGTTGTATGATGAAAGAGACTGAATTGGAGAAAGCTCATGTGACTTGCTTCAAATGCAAGCCAAAATCTGAGTTCAAATTATTTTTTACTAGTTCCTACTTCATTACAAGAACTCTCCAAGTTACAAAACAGCTTGTGTTCCAAAAATTCATTTGTAAGTCACTTAAGTCAGTTATTTGGCACTTGAACTGCATTTTACCACAGTGGGGAAAAAAAATGTTATAAATGGTGATTAGGTCCCTAGCTGGCCTACAAGAATCTATTTAACTCTTGTGCAACTACATTTGAAATTTTTAAAAAAGGGAATTATAGTTGTGATTTTGGTTACAAAGAAAAAGAAAAATTATTTTCCTGAGAAAAAGCAGTTTTAATTAGAAGATAGGGAAACATGACAATTATGGAGAGTCAAGGGGGTTAGCATTAGAGGTTGACAGCATTCTGTCTTAAACTCAGTTTCATCTTAAAACTTTGAAGATATTTGTTGTTGTTAGATGCTGCTCACTAGCTTAACTCACCTGAAAACTATGATTAGAGTCAGTAGGATGGATTGAATTAAATATTTTGGAAAAAATAGACTGAGATGGTAAAAACAAGCCAACAAATCAGAACTGTTCCTTCCATCTATCTTGATGGAAAGAGAAGTAGTTGTTGCTTTTCCCCTTCAGCCCAGCCTAGTAGATCCCATCAGTTGGCATAGCTTGGCTGAGGTCTGGAGAGAAGGCTTTGGAATATCCATTGCAGATAGAGGTTGGAGAATATCCATTGCAGGTGTGCCTTTAGTGATTTCTGTGAATGGAGTGTTTGTACAATGTGATTTTTTAATTCTGGGAAATAATTGGAATGATCTCTTTTTTTTTTTTTTTTTGAGACAGAGTCTCACTTTGTTGCCTAGGCTAGAGTGAGTCCCTTGGCATCAGCCTAGCTCACAGCAACCTCAAACTCCTGGGCTCAAGCTATCCTGCTGCCTCAGCCTCCCGAGTAGCTGGGACTACAGGCATGTGCCACCATGCCCGGCTAATTTTTTGTATATACATTTATAGTTGGTCAATTAATTTCTTTCTATTTTTAGTAGAGACTGGGGTCTCGCTCAGGCTGATTTCAAACTCCTTGACCTCGAGCAATCCACGGGCCTCTACCTCCCAAAGTGCTAGGATTACAGGCATGAGCCACCACGCCAGGCCTGGAATGATCTTATCTAGCAGTTGCTTGCTATGTTATCTAGTACACAAACATCTTTAATTTCAATTAACTTTTTAACACATTGACTGTCACACTAGAAAAAAATTTTTTTCCTTGGGGCCACGGTGTTTTATTACGAAAATAGAATAAAAACTTTGAAAACAAAACGATCCTTTCTACTTTAATGATAAATTTGTTATTTTTTATTGTTTTCTGTGCGTGAGTTATATGCAACTTAAAAAATAGTTCATGGGACTCCCAAGGTAAAGAGATGTGTGAGTTACATATGCTTCATGAGGCCCTGGGCTCAAAACTAGTGTGAGTTAAATACAACTCAGATGGCAGTTAATGTGTTAAAAAGTCAAGTGCTTCTCTAAATGTTCTTTAATTTATGTTATATTGTTTTCAGAGTATTTGCCGACAGCCTTTTCTTTTAGGAACAACAAAAGGGAGGATATATTCTTAAGTAAACAGAAGCTTAAGTGAGCCAATCTTGCTGAGATGGCACATTTAGAAAGTGGTAGAAAAAGGATTAGAGTTTATAACTCCTGGGTCAGAATAGTGCTCTTGCCAGACAGTATACTTACCCTACCTTCCTGCTAGTTAGAGAATATATTTAGCTACTCTTCAGCTTTCTGTTGGATATGTTATTTGAATGTTTTATACAAAGTATTTATACCCAAGAGTGGTTTAATGAAAGAGAGGGCAACTGTATTCACTACAATTCAGAATCCCTCTCAGTGGTCATTATAAAATGACTTGGGCTTGGCAGGCCACTTGCAAAAGTGTTGGCAAGACTGATTAGAGAAGTAACATCTACTTGAATTTATACATAGTTTGATGTTTTTAACTGCTTTGCCTTTCCACTAAAACAATTTATAAACAAATTCTTATTGTGTTATGTTTATTTAACTGAATTTAGCTTGTCTTGAAGAGTTTTATCTGAAAGGTAAATGAATAGTGCTAAGTTTGCATCCTGGTATGGGCATGCTCTGCTCAGAAATGCCCCTGTTGAATATTTAGTGGGTGAAAATATACATAGGAACCTTCGTTCCTGGGTGATCCAGGTTTGTCAGTGAGATTACCGTGTTCTCAGACTGAAAAGAGATGATTTCTTCTGGTTACCTGTATGTTTGCCAAAGGTGGGAGAGACTGGAGAGAGATTTCTCCAGAAGCTGTTTTGTTTACTTAGAAGAATGACATACCAGAAGGGTTAATGAGTCAAATTATGGTTTCTTTTTTTCTTATTGGCTTTCATGTATACATTAAACAGACCACTGGCATTTGATGACTATTTTTCTTATAAATTACCAGATTTTGTGTGTATGTTGCTCAGAGGGTGGAGGGATGGGCAAGGGGAAAGGGAAGAAGTTATCTGTTTTTGCTTTTATTTGTTGACTATACATACTTGGTACTGATAATTTGAATAGGTAAGGATTTTCCTTTATATTGAAGGCCTTGCACCCATTGATGGAAGGAAATTGTCTTATTTGAAGCAAATTCTCATCCATGGTATTATTTTTCCCATGTGAAAGCAATGTTACTTATAGTATATGTATAACATAGAAGACAAATGAATAATTCATGGACAGCTTATGTGGTATGTTTATTATTTAGCCATTACATTCATTGATTTAGAGGCTAAAATTTTGCATCTGATATTTTGATTATTAGAATTCTTAGCTGACTAGTTTTTATTTTCTTTTGTTTATTATTCTGGGACTTGAGTGACATAGACAAAAAGTCATATGTTCTTGAGACTTTTCTAAGACATAAAACATTCTTAAGATCACTCAAATTACTTTAGCCTATACAACTGATTGCCCTCAGAGTGGTCCTTCATTTTACTCATCATTCCTAAATCAGAACACCCAACTATGATATTGTTGAAAACTTGAAGGATGGTATTTATATCCTCTCCTTTCCCATCCCAAATGTTCTAGTTCTTAACTAATAACTTGCACATCCAGGATGGGGCAAGAAGAAAGGCACTGAAAGGAGAGGTCAGTGGGGAAGTGATCGGTGGGGGTGGGAGATGGTTCCTAAGGTGCATGAAGTGGGTAAAGGAAGGAAAAGGAGTGCCAGTGTGTTGGCTAGTTCTGTTGCAGGTGCTGCTGGGTTTCCACCACTCTCTCAGAACTGCTTCTGGAACCTTCATTTTCAAACAGCAGTTTTTAATTATTTTACTTGTCTTTGCTACATATTTGCCTACCTGACTATAACTGGGTGATTTTATATCATTTACTTTCTTAGGGTCAAGAAATTGGAGCATGGCTATGAGCAATGGAAACAATGACTTTGTGGTTCTGAGCAATGGCAGCATTGCAACCAGTGCTACCAACCCAAGTGTCCTCACCCCCTGTGAGGGAGACCTTGCATCCCTGCAGCTCACACCCAAAGAAGCAACAAGAACAAAAGTGAGTCCAAATGGATGCCTGCAACTTAATGGCACAATTAAATCATCCTTTCTGCCTTTAGAAAACCAAAGAATGCCTCAGATGTTATCCCAATGCTGCCATTCTTGCCCATACCATCACCCTTTGACTAGCCATACTAGTCACCAAGAGTGCCATCCTGAGGCTGGCCCTGCAGCACCCTCTGCATTAGCCTCATGTTGCATGCAGCCACACTCCGAATATTCTGCATCTCTTTGTCCTCATCATTCACCTGTGTATCAGACTGCGTGCTGTCTTCAGCCCTCTCCATCCTTCTGCCTGCATCATCCGTGGCCTGACCATTTTCAGCATCAGCCTGTGCAACAGCACATAGCCAACATAAGGTGAGTGGTCTGAAAGTTTTGCTGGCCTTTGGCATTCAAGTAATTGAATGTGGATGTGACTGCTTGTATTTATTTCTCCAGAAGGAGAAGAGAAAAATATGTCAGGGAAAGAAAACCTATGAAAATGCATATTTTGGAGATTGCGTGTAGCCAACTACAATGCAAATGAAATAGTATTTCTATTTTATCTGTTGCTTATTTAGTCAGATCATCCTTATTTTGGTAGATAAGACTACCTAAATAGGAGTCCTTTATTTGCTGTTACTCATAGTGATCACCTTTATGAAAAAGAAGTACAAAAACACTTGCTTCCTTATGCTTCCTTATAGCTGTGCTCACAATTTATATTTATATGGTTTGGGTGACTATGTTGAGATCAGGTGAAAGCAAAAATGCCTTTTATAGCAGATGAAACCTATACATCTGTAGCACAGGACTTTTAAAAATATTGTTTGTAAAGCATTTTTAGATCTGGTAGATTGAAAAGTACTAGAAAAATCTACATAATTGCCAGTCCTTATCCCCACCATAGCCCATAATTTCTTTGTGAGATTCAGCTGTTTTTCCCATGGGTAAGTTAGGTCTCATTCAATGCAGATGAGCAATGGTAATATATTTTATAAAATACTAAGTACTTTATAGAGACCAAGTATTATTGTACATTTTTAGGTAATAAAAAGTTTAAATTAGCCAGAAAGAGAGTATTCTCTTTTTAGAATTAGAGTACAATTTACACACAGGGAAATGCACAGATCTTAACTGTTTGATCAGCCTTGACAAATGTATACATAAGTGTAATCTACACCTTGGTCTGATGCAGAAAATTTCTATCACCCCAGAAAGTTTCCTCATGCTCCTTCTCAGTTATTTCCACTCTCTTTACCAGAAGCAATCACTATATTGAGAATTCTATTACCAGAGATTTATTTTGCCTGCTCCTAAAACTTCATATAAATGAAATCATACAATATGTTGTGTTTGGCAATTCGGCATAACGTTTTTGAGATTTATCTGATTATTGCATGTATTAGTTTATCTTTGTATTGCTGAATAGTAATCCATTGTATGCATGTAACAAATTCACTTTGCGTTAAAGAGTCAGATGCAAATAGGAATTAAGTGATAAATACTTTTCACTTTTATCAGGTTTTGAGCATTAGAGATTATTTGGTTTCACTCTTAAAAAGAGGAAGAGAAAAGTGGAAAGAGGATGGGGAGGGGGAAAGAGGAGAGCTCTTTGCAGCATGTTTCTACAGTTTCTTATTCATTCTCCATATTGGATTTAAGTGTCTTTTAATTGAGAAATGCACCAAATTCACCAGACCCATTTCTTAGAAGATTTATTCTGACAGCATTGTGCTACATGGCCAATTATAGACATTTTGAATCAAACTGTGTAAATAGTTGACTTTAAAATTATATAATCATAAATATTGATGTTTTTGAATAATACATTTTATGGTTGTAGAGTGTGAGATGAGATAGATAGTTCTAGATTTTGATTGATCCTTCCTTTAAAAAATATCACAGGGGCTGGGTGCTGTGGCTCACGCCTGTAATCCTAGCACTCTGGGAGGCCGAGACAGTCAGATCATTTGACCTCAGTAGTTAGAGACCAGCCTGAACAAGAGTGAGACCCTGTCTCTACTAAAAAAAATATAAAGAAATCAGCTGGACAACTGAAAATATGTAGTAAAATTAGCTGGGCATGGTGGTTCATGCCTGTAGTCCCAGCTACTAGGGAGGCTGAGGCAGAAGGATCGCTTGAGCCCAGGAGTTTGAGGTTGCTGTGAACTTGGCTGACACCACGGCACTCTACCCAGGCAACTAAGTGAGACTGTCTAAAAAAAAAAAAATGTCATCACAGATTAAAGCTACAGGCAAATAACCAATTCTTTCAATATGGCAGAATGTGCCAAGATTTTCAGGATTTTGACTTAGCATTTCTCAATGATCTAATTCAAAAGAAATGAGAGCCTTATGTGTGCTTTAAATAGAATGGCATCAAAAACAGACTGAGAGGTGGTTAGATGAGCTTGTCACTGCCCTTGGTTGTGAGGTCATGACTGGCAGCAGGGCTTCAGCAGTCACGGTGAGCTCACTTCAGAGGGTGCACGGTTACTGGATTCCTATCACTGTAGGATCTGCCGTGGATGCTAGAGAGATAAAAAGCTGACTACCTTTCAGAACAAGAGTACGTTATTGAAAAGAGAATTGAGACCCAACAAAGAAGTTGCCTGGAAGTAAATGCTGTGTGTGAGTTACTGAATGCTCATATTTTAAATGTCATGAGAGAAAGAAAAACACTTTCATTATTCAATTTGAAAAAAAAAAACAACCCTGATTTTAAAAAATGCCATATTTTTCTATCAAGAAAAATTGTAAAATAGTATGAAAGAATACTAAAGTAGAATAGTATGAAGGAAATTTTTCATGTTTAGAATTTTACCTCAAGAATTTGAGCCTTTTGTTTAACTATTTGTAACAGATATAGAATATCTTAAAGATACCTTCAAGGAATAGTATGTGTCTAGTTGTGTCTATTACATACTTTATTGTGCTTCAATAATTATATTACTTCCCTATTTTCTACATTTATTTATATAATCTACAATATTTACTGAATACTTATATGTGCCAGGCACAAGGATGTAATTCTAAACAAGTTGAGCCTTTAGTTTTGCCTTTATAAAGCTATAAGCTAGTAGGATAGGAGATGGTAAAGCAAACAGGCTGGTATAATATTGTGATGAGTACGACAAAGAAGGAACACAAAGGGTTGAAGATAAATGGAGAGAGAATAGAGGGTTTGCTTTGCAGATACTGGGAACAGTTTATGCAAAGAGTTACAAGGTAGTGTGAGCTCAGTTGCAGCATAGTTCAATATGGCTGAACCCTGATGGAAGAGAGTAGTAGCAAGAGGAGAGGTATACTGGGGCAAATCCTGAAGGGCATTCTAACCACATTCAGGGGGTTGCTAGACATTCTCCAGGGACCAATGAGGAGCCATGATAGATTCCCATTTCTCTCTCTCTCCTCCTTAGTACAGTAGGTTCTCTTTTATCCCCTCTTGATTCTTTATGCTCTAATAAATCTTTCTGGAAGAGTCATTTTATCAGTCATCTGTGTGTGCTTTTTTCTTTATAAAATTCTCTTTTAATCTTTTGATTGATAGAATTAAGATCATTGCAAGGATCATATTTAATATGTACTGTTTTAATCACTTATTGCCAAATATTAAGTATAATAGCTTAAATAGATTTCATTTTAAAGCTTTGGGCTTTTTAATTTGTAGATTCCTATCCTCATGCATGCTGCTCAGCCATTAATTAATATGGCTAATTGGAAACTCTAAGGAATTAAAAAGGGCATAAAATAGTGTCTTCTTTCCATGAAGCAAGATCTGTACCAACAAGTCCTAAATGTAGCTGATCATCAGAATTACTTAGGGAGTTAAAACAGTAAGTATAATAATTATAAGACATTTCTTTTGCAGTAGAAAAAATAAAGAGCTCTAAGAATTGAGAGATGGGAAGGATCCCTGTATGTTATTGATGTTAGAGACAGTCTGGCTAGGTAGGATAGAATATGAGTGGCCCTTGAAGAATGACTAGGAATTAATAAAGAGACTGGAGGAGGCAGAATGTGGAAGGTGGGGGAGAGTTGTAAGGGGGAAGGCTTGCAAAAATAAAGGCATGTCTTAGAAAGGGTAATGAGAACAGGATTGCTAGAGTGCAGTGTCATTTGGGGTGTCATGAGGGATAGCTTTTCCTAATTCTACATCCTGAACACAGTCCAGTTGTTTAAAAGCCTACATGGTGATGATCTACTCTTTATCCTCCAGAGAGCTGGAACACCTCTCAGCAGCCAGTCGCATTCCATGTGTGCTGGTCAAAGCAAGTTTTGAATTGCTCATTTGGGATCTTCTTATTGCCATATTAAAGTGAAAGGGTAATGGTGTTACTGCACAATTAATAAGGAGTTCTGCACCCAAAAATAGCATACAAGAGTTCTGAACTGTACTTACCTTTTAATTTAGTGTTGCAAAGAAATGTTCTTGATTGTAACAGAGGACTCAATAATTGATGCTTGGCAATGCCACAGACTCATTATCATGATAAGGAACTTCTGACATTTTGGGATACCTGCAAAATGCCTTTTTATTTCTCTGTAGGTGATTTCATAGACGGACGGTCACTTTGATTGTTTCCTGTGGTACACTAGAGGAATTAGAGTTAAGAATGCTTGTCAGAGAGGGGACTGTAGAACCCTAGCACTAGCTTAGCTCCATAAGTGTTAACTAAACATTGTCCTTGCTGTACCATACATTATGACTATATAATTTTTGTAACCTATAAGCCTTTTCTCCTTCAGTTCTTTATTCATTTTCTAACTTCTGACTCACTTTTCTCAGAGGTTTTATTTTTATTTCCCCTTAGCATAGAGTTATTTACTGTGAAGGGATCTCTTTATTAAAGTGTAAGACATGAGAATACTTGTTTTGCATTAAAAAAGATAGAGTCTACTACTTGAACTCTTGGTCTTTTGTATATGTTGTATCATAACCTCTAGAGGTAAAATTATAGGTCTAAGCATCATGTCTCAAAGTGTCTTACTTCACAGCACCTGGCCTATAGTGATATACCCTTTCCCCCTTTCTTAGCCCTGGTGATTGTTATTTTATTTAGCCAGGAAATTTGAACCAAAAATATCACTGTGAACACCTCATCACATTGTGGCGCAAACCTGGGTATTGACACAGATCCCAGAGTCCAAAATCACCCAGAGTCAATTTAAATGTTTCTCTAAGATGTTGGAGCAATCAATGGAGAAATTCAAGGTTAGTTATTCACTTATTTAGAAAGTACTTAAGCATTTACTAAATATTAGGAGCTAGGGACAGAGGTGAAAACTGCAAGCCTGCTTCCCAGCTTCAAAGATGTGGAGGTAATATGGACAAGATATAACACTGAGATTTCAGCATAGGCTCACCACAGGTA